AGGATCCCATGCAGAGGAGGCTAAACATTTTAGAGATAGAAGAGCCCTTTAACATCTTTAAATCCAACCCTCTCCTTACACCAATGATAAAAACAAGGTCCAGAGGAAGTAAGAAATATGTCCAAGGAAACACAGCAAGTCTGTGGTAGAAGCAAGTCCAGATTCCAGGACCCGAAGGTCTTTGCTGCAGCCTTTGTGGCAGCCTGGAGGTGACATTGGACCTCAGAAACCATGGCTGGCCTCCCCCTCATGTTGACATTTCTGCGGCAGTGACTTTGAAAGCTGCCTTTTATGGCTCTGGCTTTGGAAGGGCAAACACTGTTATCAGTAAAACAACACAGGTGCCTTCTAGAGTTGGAGCCAGGTGGAGCCAAGCAGGAAGGGAGACCTTTTTGCACAGGCAGACATGACCCAATCACCTGTCTGGTTCAGAAGGGTGCAAAGACCCTCCTTGGGGAGTGGAACAAGAGGCTTCTGTGGTGGTGAAGGGCATGGCTTGGGGGCCAGACGGGATGGCTTCACGTCCCAGCGACATGGCTGGCTAACTGCAACCTCAACAAGCTGCCTGACCAAGCGTCAGTTTCCTCAGCTATAAAACAGGGAGGCTGATGGCTCAGTCCCATGACTGAGTATATTTCAGGTGCTCAATAGCCACATGTGGCTAGTGGCTACTGTATTATACAGCACAGATACAACATTATCACAGAAAATCCTATCATGCAATGCTGGTAGGGACTCTGGGCTCTTGACATTAGTTCTGGACCTCACCTACTGTAGCTACTGAAAACAGAAGACTGGTCCAGGTGAGGTCTCCAGCTCTAAGGGCTCAGATTCATGTCAGAGATCCATGGTTCCTGGCTCCTCTCTCTAGCCCTTAGTCCTCTCTATTACTGCAAAGATTTGGCTTCAAGTTTGGAGCCTGGCTGACTGCCTTTCTTATGCTTCCCTAAGCAGAACCCCAGGATGGGAGGATGTGTGGGTGAGGGGAAGAGTCTGGTCAGTGCTTCCTGTAAAGGTAGGTGTCCAGAGTCCAAAAGCCTTGGGTTCAATTCCTGACTCACTCATTCAGGTGTTAATGGTTCCAGGTAAGTCACTGAACCTCTCGGAGCCTCAGTTCTCACATCTGTGCTTGCTCTGGTAAGGGGTAAAGAGGTAATGGAGGGAGAAACACATTGGAATCTGTAAAGTACACTGTTCAGAATGAGAAACTTCTACAAGTAGGAAATTGACTCTCCTTGCTCTGCCCCTTTCTTCACTAAAAGAACATTTAGATAGAGGCAGATAGCTGCCTTAGAATATATGCAACAAGATGTTATATTTAGAAACATTTTCCAGACATCTGGAGATGAGAAGAAGCTGGTACCCCAGAGACACACTGAAAGAGTCCCCTGAAAGAGAACGGGAAAAGGAAAACATTCTCTGAACACCTATTATACTCTAGATACTGTGACAGTCCCTTCCATATATAAAGAGTGGCAATGATGATGATGCTGGCTAACAAGAAAGTTGAGTGCCCACTGTGTGACAGGTATCCTTTTGAATGCTTTACATATATTATCCCCATTTTACAGATGAGGAAGCTGAGGCCCTGCAAAGTAAAAATAAGTTTCCAAGGTCACCCTAAGCTAGGGTTTAAATCGCAGCCGCCAGAGTCGCAGGGCCATGTGCATAGCTGTCTCTCCACACTGCGTTCGTAGTCTGCACATTGTTAGAGTCTCATGTAACACCACCTGCCACTTTCAGATAAGGAACTGAGCCTCAGGAAGATTACGTTACTTGCTTAGGGTCACATAGAGGGGAGAGAGGAGGTTCATTGAGTGTTTTGCTTTTTTCTTCTTTCTTCAAACTATTTCCTTCTTTGGCTATCTTTTTGACAGAACAAAGGCATTGTTGATTCAGTTTGCATCTGAATCTTGCTTCCTATTATTTCCTCACTTGAGTTCTGGTTTCCCCTTAGGATCAGACAGAAGACCTCTACTGCCTTGTTCATAGGGAAATCTCTGAAATACCCAAAGCTTATCCTCCCAACACCTTTGTTTCTTTTCGTCTTCAAGAGAAGAAATACAAGTCCTTCCGCCTTGGCAAATACGATAGTACCATTCCTTTCAGTGTTCCGGTTCTGCTCTATTGAATAAGTTCCGGTTTGACTATGACTACGTGAAAATGTGGAACCAGACCTTCACCCCACATTCCAGCTCCAGCTCTACCACACAGGAAGTGCAATATCACCTTAGTTATTCAACACATTATGCTCCTCGTGATACAACCAGAGTTCACATCAGCAATCTTGGCAGCTCTCACCACACTGCTGACTCACGACTCTCTCATGTCCCAATTTCCTGTCCTTTGTTCTTTCCTCTACTTGGCCTGATTTCTAAAGGCCTCTCTTGGTTGCATTAAGCGGGATTCCTGAGGGATTCCCTTGGCAGTTACCTTGGGGGAGCCCTCAGGTTTGGGGCTGATCCATGTCCTCTAAATGTAGGACTTCAAAGCTCCCAAAGATAGGCAGACCCAGTGGGAAGCTGGGAAATGCTCTCTGACCCCTCTGGGAGAGCTGGCAGTCAGAGGGCTTTTCGGAAAGAGCCAGACCTGATCCATAAGTCCCTGGAAAACACCCTGCCCAGGGAGCAAATGCCACTGTGGTCTTGACTGAGGCTTCCGAAGAGTTTGGGAGCTGCAATTCATCCACACACGCATTCATTTTCAAGTAGTGGTTTGCAGTTCGGGCTTTGGAGCTGTATAAGCCTGGCCTCAAAGCCACTTTCCAGCTTTGGGACTTCAGGAAGTCTCCAAATTTTTAAACCTCCAATTTTTTTTTCCTGTAAAACTGGGGTCTTCATGGTACTTACTTCATTGTGTTGTTGAGAGAATGAAAAGGAAAAGCATAAATAAATGGCTTAGCCTCGTGCCATGGCACATAGAAAGTACTCAGCATTTGTGATTATTTCTTCACGTCTTTGTTCTCCTGGTGAAGTATTTATTCAGCAAGTGTTCACCAAGAGGCTGCCGGGGCAGCTGGGTGCTGCGGCGGAAAGAACACAGATGCTAATAAAAGCCTGAGCACAGGATCAGGCTCTGTGGGTAAAGATGCTCCAGGGGACCAGCTGAACACTTTACAGGAACTCGTTCTGGCTCTGCATTTGGACGGCTGAGCTCCCACCCACTTCATCCCCCACCCTCAGCACACACAGCAGCTCCTGGGCCATTTCTGAGTTTGGAGCTTCTCAGATTACGCTCAATGTGACCTTGGGCAAATCCCATCACTCATCTCAGCCTCTGGCATACTTCCTATAAAACAGAGATAATAATACCCACCAAGCCAAGTTTTTGTAGTAGATTAACCAACAGCAAATGTGAAGTGCCCAGCCAAGCCCAGCATGTGGCTGATGCTCCACAGCTTCTAGCTCCATTCCCCCCACCACACCTTCCATAACCGTGTGCCAAGCTTGGGCTAGATGCTGGTGGTCAAAAATTAAAAGAAGCTAGACCTGCCTGCAGGGCATTTAAACTTTAATGGGGGAAATAAACATTTGAACCTCTACCCCAGAGAAAGAGTGCTAAGGGCTGTGATGAAACTACGTCTGAAGGGTTATGGAACACCAGGAAGGGCAAATCGCTTTGCCAGTTTGGCCCTCAGTTTCCTTGTGTGTCAAACGAATGAAATTGGTTACTACTCCATGTGAGATGACTTAAGTGAGTTAGGGAGTGTGCAACTACATGTTGGAAAGTTTAACTCTGTGCTAGTGCTTCTATTTACTTATCTGTTTCCCCATTAGAACTTCAACCCCTTGAAGGGGATGTCTTCTAAGCCTATGTCTTATTCATTCCTCTGTCCCCAGCACACTGGCATAGAACCAGTGCCCAGTCAACATCTGTTGAGTAAACAGACACAAGGACTTATTATCTAATTTTATCCTCCCAGATCCCAGAGAGGTACAACATCCTATAGATGGAGGGAACACTGAATACAGAGTTCAGTGAGTGGCCTGGCAATCAGTGGCCGAGCCAGGCATCTTGGAACCTGTGGTGATGACCTTTCTGCTAGATTTCACAACACAGGCCACTCTGGCTCAGGTGGAGTGACACTGCTTTTCTGGATGTGACTCAGCTTTCCCTGGGGGTCACTGAACCCATCCATCAGCCTTCACACTGAGTCATGGGCTGAGGTGAACTTCAGACCTAAGGAGGGAGCAGGGCTGCCCTGCCAGGTGGGTGTGCCCAGGGATCCCTCAGTCCAGCTGAGCACACCACCTGGGAAATCCTTCATGGGATGAAGATGGGGTGGGGACAAGGACGTCACACCAGATCCACACCCGTCTCCCACAAGAGTGTCTAAAGAGCAACACCTATCCCGTCACTGTGACTGGCGGGCTCTGACTCAGAGGCGCCCCTTCTCCATCCCCAGTGTCACGTCCTCAGCATTGACCCCAATCATCTTTTGTTCTGCCTGGACTCCCAGCCTCCACTCTATCAACATTCCTTTCAAAGAAGTTAAGTGATTTGCCATAACCACACACTGTGAATATCATGTGCTTATGTTCAGAAATTCTTGACTGGCTCCCTAGTACCTAGCAAATAAATTCTAAACCTCCACCTCAGCACTCAAGGTCCTCTTGCTGAAGCTTCAGCCTGCTTTTCCTGTTCTTTTCCTCTGTACACCCTTGAATCCTTCACTTTAGATCAGTCTGTGTGTTGCCATTCTACAGAGTTGCCCTTTACTTTCCCTTCTCCTTATCCTTGCTAATACACTAACTCACTTTCATCTGGAATGCCCTTCCCATGTCTTATTCATTCTTCAGATCTGAGCTTAAAAGCCACCTTTTTCATGAAGCCCTCCCAGATCTCCTCAGCCCAAACACTGGGATATTGCCAGTTATGTTTATTGATAATTTCTGTTGTGCAATTTGTAATGATCAGTACTTTATATGCTTCATTTTAGTTGATATTTCCAACAGTCTTACAGGTAGATGAATATTTATTATCCCCATTTTATAGATGTGGAAACTGAGACTCAGAGAGGAGAGCTAACTTGTCCATACTTACATACCTGTTGAGATTCAAACACCAGTGTGCCTGACTCCAAGTTGTTCCACGACTTTGGTTTGTACTTCCTATGTTCTTTGCACCTCTTTGGGGTACTCATGTTGTTGGGTGTTGTATTTTCCTAGGGGACTCATCCACTCACTTCTACTGTGATTTTCCTGAAGACAAGTGACTAGCTCTGTATGTAGTGTCTGTCATAGACTGGGCTGTGAGGCAGAAAGCAAAGGCGAGAGAGCGAGAGTTATGGAGCGCCGCTGTGTGCTAGTCCATGCTAGTTACCATAAACATGCGTACATAGCATTTAAGTGTTGTTAGTCTCATTTTACAGAAGAAGAAACAGAGGCACTGAGAGGCTAAATAACTTGATAAAATCTATGACAAAAAAAAAAAAATGGGATAGACCTACATGGAATCATCTCAAAAATATACCATTAAGTGAAAAAAACAAAAAATGGAGTGCCTGTTTTCATTATGTGCTCTCATTAGAGAAAATAGAAACATATTAAAACATACATATGCTTGTTTATGCTGAGACTGCTTTAGGGACACACAAGAAACTGCTTTGGGGAGGTGACAAAGGAGGGCCTTAGAGGAATATAGACTGGAGAGTTGAGGGAGACTTACTTTTTAAATCATCTAAGAGTTTGAGTTTAAATAGGTATTTTTAGTTATTTGCATGTATTTCTTTCTCAAAAATAAAATTTGCTTATTTAAAATATGGATCCATGAAAATGTCTGAAGATCAAACATTCCAAAACAGAATTTGGCCTTGGGATTTTTTGACTCCAGGAATCTTTCTATTATAACCATCTCATTTCTGACATGCAGGCATACCTCGAACATATCGTGGGTTCGGTTGCAGACCACAGCCATAAAGCAAATATCACAATAAAGTAAGTCACATACATTTTTTTAACTTCTCAGTGCTTATAAACGTTATGTTTATACTATACTATAGTTTTTTAAGTGTGCAATAGCATTATGTCTTTAAAAACACTGTATATACCTTAATTTAAAACTACTTTATTGCTTAAAAAAATGGTAACCATCATCTGAGCCTTCAGTGTGTTGTAATCTTGCTGGTGGAGAATCTTGCCTTGATGTTGATGGCTACTGATTAATCATAGTGGTGGTGGTTGGAGATTGAGGTGGCTGCAGCAATTTCTTAAAATCAGGCAACAGTAAAGTTTACTGCATCGACTGGTGTTTCTTTTCATTCCCATCTTTGATGACAGATTTCTCTCTAGCATACGATGCTATTTGATAGCATTTTACCCACAATAGAACTCTTTTCAAAATTGGAGCTAATCCTCTCAGGTTCCTTCCACTGCTTTATCAACTAAGTTTAGGTAATATTCTAAATCCTTTGTTGTCATTTCAACAATGGTAACAGCATCTTTACCAGGAGTAGTTTCCTTCTCAAGAAACTATTCTTTGCTCATCCATAAAAAGCAACTCCTCATTCATTTAAGTTTCATTATGAGATTGCAGCAATTCAGTCCCATCTTCAGGCTGCACTTCTAATTCTAGTTCTCTTGCTATTTTTGCCACATTGCAGTGATTTCCTCCACTGAAGTCTTGAACCTCTCAAAGTCATCCATCAGGGTTAGATTCTACTTCTGCCAAACTCATATTAATGCTGATATTTTGACCTCCCATGAATCACAAGTGTTCTTAATGGCACCAAGAATGGTGAATCCTTTCCAGAGTGTTTTAAATGTACTTTGCCCAGATCCATCAGAGGAATCACTATCTATGACAGCTTTAGCCTTATGAAATGTATTTCTTAAATAATAAGACTTGAAAGTTGAAATTACTTCTTGATCCATGGCCTACAGAATGGATGTTGTGGTAACAGGTATGAAAACATTTATCTTCTTGTACATCTCCATTAGAGATCTTGGGTGACCAGGCTCATTGCCAATGAGCAGTAACATCTTGAAAGGAATCTTTTCCTGGGCAGTAGGTCTCAACGGTGGGTTTAAAATATTTAGTAAACCATGCTGTAAACAAATGCGCTGTCATCCAGCTTTGATGTTTCATTTTTAGAGCACAGGCAGAGTATATTTAGCCTAATTCTTAAGGGCCCTAGGGTTTTGGGATTGGTAAAAGAGCATTGGCTTCAACTTAAAGTCACTAGCTGCATTAGCCCTTAACAAAAGCCAATCTGTCCTTTGAAGTTTTGAAGCCAGGCATTGACTTCTCCTCTTTTGCTATGAAAGTCCTAGATGGCATCTTCTTTCAATAGAAGGCTGCTTCATTTACACTGAAAAATCTGTTGTTTAGTGTAGCCACCTTCATCAATGATCTTAGCTAGATCTTCTGGATAACCTGCTGCAGCTTCTACATCAGTACTTGCTACTTCATCTTCCACTTTTATGAGACTGAGACTTCTTTCCTTAAACCTCATGAACCAACGTCTGCTAGCTTCAAACTTTTACTCCGCAGCTTCCTAACTCTCAGCCTCGATAGAATGAAAGAGAGTTAGGGCCTTGCTCTGGATGAGGCTTAAACTTAAGTGAATCTTGTGGCTGGTTTGATCTTCTATCTAGACCACTAAAACTTTCTCCATCTCAGCAATAAGGCTGTTTAACTTTCTTATGATTTGTGTGTTGACTGGAATAGTGCTTTTAATTTTCCTCAGGAACTTTTCTTTCACATTCACAACTTGGCAAACTGTTTGGTGCAAGAGACCTAGATTTCAGCCTATCTCAGCTTTCAAGATGCCTTCCTCGTTAAGCTTTATTATTTCTAGCTTTTGATTTAAAATGAGAGATGTGACTCTTCCTTTCACTTGAACATTTAGAGGCCATTGTAGGGTTATTAACTGGCTTAATTTCAACACTGTTGTGTCTTAGGCAATAGGGAGACCCGAGGAGAGGGAAAAAGATGGGGAATAGCCAGTTGGTGAATTATGTTGACCATCTTATATGGGAGCAGCTTGCAACACCTTAAAACAATAACAATAGTAACATCAAAGATCACTAATAGCAGATCACCAAAACAGATATAATAATAATGAAAACATTTGAAATATTGAGAAAATTACCAAAATGTGACACAGAGGCGTGCCTGAAGTGAGCACATGCTATTGGACAAATGGCACCGATAGACTATTCTGTGCAGGGTTGCCACAAACCTTCAATTTGTTTAAAAAAATCTAAGCACAATAAAATGAAGCTCAATAAAACTAGGCATGCCTGTAGTTGGAGAAAATTTTCATACATGGTATTATGAGAATTATGGTCAGTGTATATGATAGAAAACTCACAATCACTTAAATGTCAATAAGAATAGCATCACTTAAATGTCAATAAGAATAATATCAACCTCACAGCATTGCTGGGTGGCTTACATAGCATCATGAGACATATGAAAAATTAATTTTGATAATATATGTAATATATAACCATGATGTTTAATTCTCTCACATAATAACAGAAGTCAAGACGGAAATAATCCTGGACTGAAATCCCGGATTCCTTCTAACTTGTTGCTGTGCCATCCTCAACATATGGCTCTGCCATCCTCAACATTCTAACTGGTCCAAGATGGCTGCTCCATTAAGCAAGAAGGATGAAGATCAGGCAAAGGGTGTGGCGTTTGCATTTAAGAACACTTCTAAGAAGTTGCAAACCCTACTTCTGCTTACATCTCATGAACCAGCACTTAGTTACCTGGCAATACCTGGTTGTAATGGAGCCTCGACATTGCAAGATTTCATTTTCAGCATTCACATGCCCAGCTAAAAATCAAGCATTCTGGATGGGTACAGTGACTCATGCCTGTAATCACAACACTTTGGGAGGCCAAGGCAGGAGGATTGCTTGAGGCCAGCAGTTTGAGGCTGCAGTGAGCCATGATCATGCCACTGCAATCCAGCCTAGGCAACAGAGTGACACCCTATCTTTAAAACAAATTTTTTTTTAACATTAAAAAATAAATCAAGGGTTGTATTGTCAAGGAGGAAGGGGAAAGTAGTTATTTGGAAACAACCAGCCTGTCTCTACCACAGACGCGAATGCTTTGCTTTCAGAATTTATCTGCCCTGCTCTCTAAAACTGATGTATTACTGGATATGTTTCATGTTCCTGACATACTCCTGGGCACTCTATAGAGAATATTAAAACACACTGAGAGAAAACAAGTAACTTCCCATTAAAGGCCCACTTTCTAAACCAAACCATCAATGGGCTTTCTCTGAAGGAAGGTCCAATTATACGATTCTGGGCAAATGAATTACCCTTCCTAAGTCATATGACCTTGGGCAAGTCATTTATCACTCTAAGCCCATTGTGCATCACTTAAATGGCAATAAGAACAATATCTACCCCCATAGAGTTGCTGAGTGGCTTTACACAGCATCCTGAGACACATGAAAAAATAATTTTGATAATATATGTGATTTAACCCAAAATATTCTAAATCTTATCATTTCAACATATAATCAATTTAAATTACCAATGAGATAAATACATTCTATTTTTCACACTAAGACTTTGAAATTTAGTGTATGTTTTATCCTGATAAAACAGACCAGTTACATTTCCTGTGTTCTCTAGCCACGGGTGGCTGCCAAGTTGGACCAGGCAGGCTGAGACTAATTTAAGTGTCCTTGCTGGGTGCTCCCTTAGCACCCTATACTTACAAGTAAAGAAGTCATCCTTTCTGTGGCAAGTGTCCATTTACTTGGTTTATCCACAAGCAATTCCCTTGAGGAGATGGAATAAGAGGTACCCCCAGGACCTACATAGTACTTAGCACAGAGCAGACACTCAATAAATACTTGTTAAACAAATATTATTCATTTCTCTATCCCCAGTGCTCAGCCCAGTGCTTGACCCTCAGTAGGCATTTAATAAAGACTTACTAAATTAATGAAGTCATGACCCAACATTTTAATGGTAAGTGAATTTGCAATTTGACAGCAGGTGAAAACCTGGCAGTTTATTGCAGAGGAGACAATGGTACCTTTCTAACCCTCAAAGTAACACCTGCCATTAAGTCAAATTTCCTTCACTGCCTCCTTTCTCCCAAACGGAACTGGAGCCAGATGGGAAGCCACGGGCCTTTCCATTCCGGTAAAATCACACAATGCCTGGTCTGCAATGATAAGCAAGGATATCAAGTTCCTATGAACAAATAAAATTAACTTTCAGCGAGGGCCAAGTTTCTCCATTTCACTGTATCTCTTTTTCTTGTCAGAGTGTGCAAGGTGAGAGGCTCTGAAAGGTTGCCCATCACTGTCTGATTGAAATCTGGGGAGCTTTACAATAAGGCTGACAGTAATTAAAATGATCAGACATTTCAACCTCAGCACCGCACCACCACTTACTAAATGAACTGAAGCAACTTATGTGTCTTCCAGAAACATTCATTTTCTCATCTGTAAGATGGCCAGACTTATCTGGCCGTGCTGCTGTGAGGACCCTATAAGAACAGAGCTCCCCACACATGCTGGTGCTCAGTGACTGGCAACTTGCGTCATTCCTGCAGCAACCTGGCACGGCTCTCTGAATGATATTTGCAAAGTGAGAGACTTAGCATTATTTTTGTCTTGACAATCAGCCATAGGCCAGATGATTTTCTTAAAGTTGTGTCGAGCTGCCCCCGCCCCCTTTGTGGACAACTAAAACACAAACACTATTTAGAAAGATCTGGGCCGAGTCATTTCTTTGGAGCCTGGTGGCAGGCCAGGAGGCTGATCACAAAGGCAGCATTCAGCTGCAACAACAGCAGCCTGGTGGGCAAGGGCCTTGTCCCAAACATTCTTGACTAGGCTTCTTGGGGGAAGGTGTTACCGGCCTGCAAATATTTGTTGCTCTATCTCCATAGCAACCACAGTGGTCATCGTGAAACCCTGAAACTGCACATCGAAACTTGGGAGGTGCTGCAAAGTCAAGCCTGATCGGGAGGAAGCTTTCTCCTGGACCCTTCCCTCCCCTAAAACTGAAGACTTTTCCAGGATTCTTTCAAAGGGCATTAAAGAGAAGCTATTGTGCCAGCTGCACACAGCCTACTGCCTGCTCTGAGGAAGATGTATGGGCAAAGACTGTTGCCAATTGCCCATGATAGGCTTTAAGAGACTTTAAGCCAAAATGAGTTCCTGCCTGTTTTCTGCAGAGCTTTTGCAGCATGGTGTGCTGAGTCTGGCTCTGGCACAGAACAGTAACACCACCTGTGCAACCTCAGGGAAGTTGCTCACTGTCCCTGAGTCTTTTCCTCAGCAAAAAACACAATTAAGCCCAATGTAGTAAACTCATATTGACATCTACTCTGAGCTAGATGCTGAGATTACAAAGTTGAAAACACCAGGCTATTCCCCTCAGGGAACTCAGATAGCCTATCAGGCAGAACTGTATTAAATATTAAGTTTGATCAGGCTGGGCGCAGTGGCTCACACCTGTAATCCCAGCACTTTGGGAGGCTAAGGCGGGCAGATCATGAGGTCAGGAGATTGAGACCATCCTGGCTAACACGGTGAAACCCCATCTCTACTAAAAGTGGAAAAAATTAGCCAGGGGAGGTGGCGGGCACCTGTAGTCCCAGCTACTCGGGAGGCTGAGGCAGGAGAATGGCGTGAACCCGGGAGGCAGCGCTTGCAGTGAGCTAAGATCACGCCACTGCACTCCAGTCTGGGCGACAGAGCCAGACTCTGTCTCAAAAAAACAACAACAAAAAAAATTTTATATATATATATATATATATATATATATATATATATATATATATAGTTGGATCATACCAGACACCCACTGCCTGGTGCCCAGTGGGACCTGTTGTACTATAAAAGTTTATTTCCCTTCTTCAAACCAGGTTACTCTAAAGAAAGCCCTGAAAGATGATCAAGGGCCCATGTATTTTTAGAACATTCTTCTTGTACCCAAGATAAATTTATCAGTTTTGGACATGATCTTTTACTGATGGTATACCTCATATATTCATTATAGCATGCTTTCATGATCCATATCTCATTGGACTCTCTTAACCATCTGCTGAATTCAGAAGGACAAGAAGGGTTGTTTTCACTTCAGACTGAAGACACTGAGGCACAAAGGTGAAGTGATTTGTCCAGGTTGCAGTGGGAATTAGAAGCAGAGCTGCAATTCGAACACACATTTTCCAACTTATTCTTTCAGTAAATATTTCTTGAGTATATATTTCTAGGTGCCAGCATTGTTCTAGACACTGGGGTCAAAGGTAGTAACTAAAACAAATTTGCATTAAAGAGTTCAAGTTCTAGGGGAAGGAAGCAGACTGCTAACAAACACATACATACACACTACATTAAGAAGTGATAGGCACAGTGGAGAAAAAGTCAGTAGAGTAGAGATGATAGCATTGCTGGATACTAGAAATAGTTTCTATAGACTGCCTGGGAAGTACTTTCTGAGGAAGCTGGGGAGAAGCGAGGAGCTGGCCCTGTGGATGTCATGGTTGAAAAGTGTCCAGGTAGGAGGAAGAGCAAGGCGTGAGGCCCTGAGTTGGGAACACGTTAGCACATTGTAGAGCAGGCAGAAGGCAGGCATGGCTGTAGCAGCAGAGGGATAGGGAGATTGGCAGGAGAGGAAGCCAAGGAGGAGTGAGCGGTCCAGTTCATGGGGAACTTGTAGGGTGTGGAATTAATGTTGGGTTTTATCCCGGGTGAGATGGGAGCAGTTGGAGGGCTTTGGGCAAAGCAGTGGCCACATTGTGATTCAGCAAGTTAAAAAAGATCCCTCCGACTCCCACATGAACTACAGTCTGAAGGTCAGCAAGGATGGAAACAGGGAGACTGATTGTTAAGAGGCTACTGCAACCATGGTTGAGGTAAGAAAGGAGCATGGCTCCCTGAGGTGATGAGAAGTGTCAGATTCTGGATCTATTCCTCAGGAAAAGGCTTCAGGATCTGCTGATGGTTTGAAGGTGGGGTGTGAGCAGGAAGAGCCCCTTATGACTCCAGGGCTAAGTAACTGGAAGAATGAAGTTGCTATGTCCAGAGATGAAAAAATATGAGAGAGAAGCAGGTTAATGATAATTAAGATGTTTCTTTTTCTTTCTTTCTTTCTTTTTTTTTTTTTTTTTTAATATAGAGACAGAGTCTTGCTCTGTTGCCCAGGCTGGAGAGCAGTGGTGCGATCTTGGCTCATTGCCAGCCTCCGCCTCCCGGGTTCAAGCGATTCTCTTGCCTCAGCCTCCTGAGTAGCTGGGACTACAGGTGCGTCACCATGTCTGGTTAATTTGTTTTTGTTTTTTTTTTAATTTTTAGTAGAGATGGGGTTTCGCCATGTTAGACAGGCTGTTCTCAAACTCATGACCTCAGGTATCTGTCTGCCTTGGCCTCCCAAAGTGCTGGGTTACAGGATGTTTCTCTTAAATGTTACATTTGAGGTGCATATTGGAGATCCCATGGAGAGGGCAGGGAAGGTGGAAAGAGGCAAACCAAAGAGATTCTTTTGCCATTCTTCAGAATACATGTTATTTAAAGCCATAGGCTTCAGTCTAAATCCCCAAGGGATTAAATGGAGGTAGAGAAGAGGACCAGTCCTTGGAGCACTCTAGTGCATGGAGTTAGTAAGAGGAAGAGGACCCAGCAGGAAAGCTATGAAGGAGGGGCTTGTTAAAGTAGGAAGAAAACCCAGAGACTCCCGTCTTGGAAGCCGGATGAAGTATTTTAAGAAAAGAGTGACCCAAAGGGTCAAATCAGTCATTGGTTAGGGTGACAAGTGAGAATTGATTTCCGGATTTGGCACAGAATGATCCTTAGTGATCTTGACGATATCTGTTTGGGTGAAGTGAAGGTAAAAGCCTGATTGAGTAAGTTCAAGA